ACACTCGGAGCTCATTATGTTATGTGCGCAGGGGGAACTTTTGTTTTACGTGGGAATATTTGTTTTACGTGGGAATAATTCGCAAGTGCATAACGATTACGGTTTAGTTTTACATTCAGGGGAAGGTTTTAAGGACCCCTGGAGCGAATCGTAAAAACGGAGGAAAGTCCTGACCTAGGATACCATTTTAAGTACCTGGACATAGACATTTACGTCGTTTTCACGAGAAGGAATTATCGAGATGATAAGAGAACGCGAAATTTCTGGTTTTCTTAAGCAGTGCACGGTCAACTTCCCGTCTGGTTCCTAGAGTCGTTCGGTTTCTCGGGGCTTAGCAGGATTCCGGCTACTATCGAGTTCCCGATAACTTCCAGGATCCCCGATGTTCTCGGATTCGGAGACCCTAGACCAGAACCCAGGAACTAGAACTTCCCAGAAACCAGGGCATGCTACGCTTCGACCACTCCGAACTTCGAGTAGCGTGTAATACTTCCACCATCCGTCATGTAATCCGACATTTCCCATCGTCATCGACACCCCATCGAATCCCGTTCCCACCGCGAACTCCATCCACCGATTTCCATATTCATGAAAAACGAGAAACAAAAACTAAAGCGCAAAAAATCAACGAAAAATCGACATCCCTCGAGGGTTTGTTATCGCATGATGCGTTTCCACGACGGCACCGCGAGGCGGTGAAGTTCCGATAATAACTCCATTGGAGCTCTGTTTTCCGGGAGGAAGTTTCGACCGGGTGAGACAAAAGTTTTCGCCCAGGGTTCCCGTCCAGGGGCGATCGCAGTTTTCGTAGCCGAGCTCAACCCCCGGGGTACATCCGATTGCCGGAAGGGGCGGCCCGGGGAGGGCCAAAGCTGGCACGAGATTGCCCATTGGAATTCCACGAGATCCGGAAGATAAACCTTGCCAGGGTGCACTTTTCGTAGTTTCGTTAAAAGGCGCTATCTCCTTCCGGTCGTTAGATCGTTCCTTTTTCGGTCTATCGGCCGAGCCATGACGTCGGCCACCCCCAACGCCGGTCTCTCGCACCCTGCCCTTCGACCCCTTCCGTCAACCCCTTCCCAGCCCCTGGATGCCGGGAAAATAATGTTACCGAACTCCGAATGGAGTTTCGGCCGGGAGAAAACTTTCCAATTATTTGCGGCTGACTTTCCTCTCGGCGCCGATGAGAGGAAGAAATGAAACCCACGGGATGAGGGGGTTGCTTTTCTCGGGGGATTAACCCATCTCTCCGGAGCCCCGGATGATCTCGCTTGTCGCTCCGCTTTCCGCCACCCCCTGCCCTCTCCTGGTTCTTTCTTCCGCTGCTTTCGCGTTTCTACGTATTTCCCCCCTTTTGTTACATTTTTGCTTTATTTTATATTTTTTACTAAGAAGGTCCGGAGAAAGGGGTCGAGGAGGAAATCCCAAAGCTGCTTAATAATGTCAACGGGGAAGAATTAGCTCCTTGGCGAGCTCCGAGTAATCCGCCCAGCTTTTCCGCTCGTGTCCTGGACGGGGATGTTTAACGAATCCCATCTTAAATCCCGAGGTTCATTAACGAATCCCAAAGGGATTTGCGATTCTTAATAATCCTATTCCTATTTCCCCGGAAATTCTTTTTCTCCCCTAGGATCGAAACTACCCGGGATTGCTCGTTTCGAAAGCAGCAGGTGCGACAGGGGTTGCACGTCGGTGGAAAAGTCTGCAAGTCGGCGGAGGAACAGAATTAAAATTCAGGGTATTCGGGTGGCTTTTAATTAATCAGACATGTATTCCCCGCGGTTCAGAAATCGGTCGAAAACCCCTAAAATGAGGAAGGGGTTTCCTGGGAAGGACCTCTGCAGAGCGGAAATGGGACGAGCACGATCGGGAGATTGCAGCTTCGCCGACCGGAAGTCGGGAGCTTCTTACGTGCCGAGAATGACTGATCAAGTGGATTCGGAGCTTTCTGGCCAATGAACTCCCAGAAATATCAGCGATTAATAATTTCAAATTCCACGAAAGGAACGAGTCCCTGTCTACCCTACCTCGATTTATAATTCCAACAAAATCATGGGATAGAAATCGAATCCATGGTGCATATGGCGATGCTTCCTGTATTAATTTATTTCATAATGCAAACGAGTCCAGGAGTCTTGATACCACCGAGTACCTATTTTTGGAAAAACTCAATATTGATGTTTGAGTCAAATTGACTCATTTCAGGCAAAATAGGTATATACCCAACATCCGGCAATCTAGTGTTAAACTGTATACATCCCCGTGCATTATGTCCCCAAATGATTTATTATACATAATGAAGCACTGCAGAAAATTGATTACATTTGTGCCCATAATTATGAAAGTGGTCTAAGTCATATATTTTTTGTTTCGAAATTACATTGAATTAATTTAATTTGAAATAATGTGGCGTGAAATAACTGATAAACTCATTTTTTTTTTCAATTTTGACTTAGACCACTTTCATAATTATGGGCACATTTGACAAGTACGTTCTCTCAGTGCGCGAATACCCGGTTTGAAAATCACAGGCGCAGCTTGCGGGTCCAAGAATTCGGGCAGGAATTTGCAAGCCCCATTTATTCAAGAGGGGAGAAAAAAAAATGGTGAAACGAGTGGCGTCGGAAAAAAGGGAGGAACCGGAAGGGGAGGTTGTTCGAGCACGATGATAGTCGTCGGTTCCGGGTCAGTCCGGGCACGCGAGGAACTACGAGGGCAACGAGGGCGTCGAAGGTTTTCCTGGCGTCGCGCCATTTTCCCAGGGTGTTTCCCGGCAGATCCAGGATAAATTATCGCTGACCCAGTGGTGCCGCGAAGTGCTCGCTCTCGGAGAAAAATTGCCCCGCGACCCGCAATTGCAGTTGCAGTTGACGCAGCTGCGGGGAAGCCGCAGGCCGCACGGCCGACGAGCCCAGCCTCCCCGTACGCGGAAAATTAACGCGTTCCATATAGGTAAAGGTACACAAATATGTACATACACCCAGTTAATACCACGTAAACGTCCAGAGGGGAAAATAACACCCGGAAGTGATTTTCTCCCCGAGGTTTCCCGGTTTCCGATTTTCCCTGACTTTTGGGAAGCATTTCCCTTGCCATGGGAATTTTTCCGACATCTCTAGCCGCCCTTCTTCGTCGTGAAGCTGGGTCGCTGTATGGTGTTCGGGGGAAGATTTTTCTCAGTTAACGCACGCCAGGCAGGTCAGGGAAGGGACATGGATGATATTTATGTACCTATTACATACGTGAGGGCATTTATTTCACTTATTCCAGACTGGACATGGCCAGGGTAATTTATAGTGCTTAGCAGTCCTGATCCCCTCTACTCTGTTCCTTTACCCGGTAATGACAGGGGGCTCTTATTTTCGAGTTAGGAGGGGTGAACATTTTCCAGAAACCTTGGACACCATTTTTCACGAGGCTAGGATTTAACCCTTTTAGTGCCGAACGACGATATATCGTCGTTTTACAAGTGCTAACGACTTCGGCCGGCACTAAAAGGGTTAAGGTACCCCTGATTAAAAACCCGCGATTTTTAAAGTCATTTAAAAGCGTTAATAACACTTATTTTATCAAGGCTTATCAGCCGGCATGGATTTCATGCATTGAGCCGGATCAATATCCCGCTGACGTAAAACTTGTAGACCGAACCCCTTCCTTCCGACTGCGTTAACAGAAATGGCTGATAAAATTGCAGGGAATTATCTGCCCGATACATTTCCCTGGGAAAAAGTGAAAACCCTCTCCTGAAGAGTTTAAGGGGGGGCGTGAGAAAGGGAAAATCGATTCGGCTTTTACGATCGCTTCACCCCCGCATTTGAAAAGTCCCGGCGGCGATATCGACCCTTCCGGGCGGAGGGGTGGTTTTCCCGGTGAGGGAAATTGGGTCGGGCAGAGCGGGGATGGATGTCGGAAAACCAGGACCGGGATAGGGCGAAAAGGGCACGGACTTTTCAGCTCGTAAAGAGGGTGCACATCGCCGCGGAGAATGCACCCCCGAGTGAATATAACGCGCCACGATTACCCGGTCACTCCATAAACAAGACACCGTAAAAGCGCCGGATAAAAGTGTTACGAGATATATCCCGCCGTCTCGAATGCCTCGGATAAAAGTTTCCGCTTATGCCGCCCCTTTGGGCCAGACCGATGCACCCCCGAAGGGAAATGCCGAACCCTGCTCATCGGCGCGAAAACTAGGGGTGGAACTTGCGAGACCCTCGCCAAGAGCTTCTCTCGATTTTGGCTCGACTTTCGAACACTTTGTCTAAGATGGAGGTGATGTCTGACGGCGAACTTCTCTTATTCACTCAGACATGCCGTAGTAAAATTTTTTGGGGGGGAGAGAACTACAGAAGTACAGAGATCAAATATACTCGAGTCAAGAATTCCAGATAATGAACCAACTTTTATACTTTGAGAAAAGAAATGTCATTGAGCCAAAGACACATTTCTTGGAATACCAAAGAAATATTCTGTCAATTCAAAGAATGATTAAGCCGAATAAACTGAAATAAATGGGGTGCGACATTTATTCGGAATTATGACAATTTATTTGAGACAAATTATTCTTGGAATTAATTAAATATTTCTTTGGTACTATTCAAAGAGATACTTCTTTGGTTCAATGACATTCTATTGCTAATTCTTCCGTTTACCGGGTACTTCTTGATTGACTCCGGTTTTAGATTTTTCTTTTATGTTGGTACCAAAGCACGTGATCGATGATTTATATTTTATATTTATCATGTTTTCCTGCTTTTTTCTAGGGTTATTCGATTTGGTCAATGGGTGGCTCAATTGTTAGTTATATTTTACTTTCTTGGACGGAAGCAAGATCGACGGTGTCGCAGTTTTAGGGTGCGGCCGCGAAAAGAGGCACTTAGCTGAAACCGTCAACGGTGACAGCCGCTCGTCATCATTTGTCATTAAGTTTGGAAGCTGGAAAGCCAGGAATCGAGGATTCTTCTTAATCAAAAAGTGAGCTCGTCCTTTTCTGGTTGCAGATCCTGTGACCGCTGCTAGCCTTCTGGAGGCGAATCAACGCGAGGAGGAAACGAGGCTGGAAGTGGAAAGGCTGACCGCGGAAATTCGATCTCTGAAACTGCAGATTCTGCAGCTGACGGGTGAGACGTGAACTTATTATAGATGTTAATTAGTTACCGTAAAAAAATATAATCTCATCGTAAAAGACAAAAGTCTGTACATCAAGCGACTCCAGACGTTCCGATTTACCATAGGAATCGTTGCAAGGATTTAAAGCGTAGATACCGATATCAGTGAAACTTATCAGAAACTAAACATTAATATCCTCTCTAGCTCTTCTCAAAGGGCCCGGAAATCTCTCGATTAATTCCTAGGATAATGAAACTCTGGCATAAGCAGGAATTCGTAAGCAGCTTATATTATCGCTGCGGTATTTCCCATAGAAACGATTGTAACATTTACTTGTAATTTTGGTATCTCAACATTTTTCGGATCTATCTCGATTTCGGGGGAAAAGGGAACTTCTTCAGGATTGTTATCGCAAGGACGTGATCTCGATTCTTTCGGTAAAATTCCCGAAATAATTCTCAGGTTTCTACGGCTGTCGCGCGTGCGAAGACCTGGCGAAGTCCGGAATCCGGTTCGGCGAAACTATTCACATTAAGCGAAAACTACTGGGATCCTCCAAGATTCCTGGAGAGACTCGGTGCCAATGCTCCGAGACCGAGGGAAGAGGGACGAGGTACACATTGCGCGACAATGTTCTTCCCAAAACAATCCTAGAGCTCGGTATGATCTCGAAGATCCGAATGCCGTCGCCCGAATGGCTCGTTTTATGGCTAATATTCCGTTTTACTGAAGTTTCGACAGCTGCGTCAACATATTTTTCCTATTGCTCCATCCGCGACAAGCTCGTTTCACCGAGACGCTTACGTACTCAAGAAAGAAATTTCCAAAGCCACAATTTAACGTTAACTTCATGATTTTATTCCCGGGATATTTCCACGCTCTACAATAATGTTCGAGAGATGGAAACATGACTTAAGGTGAAGTGAAACACGTCGAGGACGATTAAGAGGATTTTTCTAAATGCCTACGTTGCCGACGTTCGTTTTTATATTGACAGCTGTGTCGAATTATATTGGGTATTGTATCAAATGGCATACTCCCCCTGTCGTTTTCGTACAATAATTATAAAGAAATCGAAGTAAAACTCCAGAAATCCTCTGGATTCATGCTTTCTGGGGCCCTAATTGACTGCAAAGGGACCCCCTGCGCCATCTGTGATTTCCAGGTCAATTAAATTTTCACTCCGAGACCTCGTATTACCATCGTTTTGGCATAGAAGCGCATACAACACTTTTTTTGCCTCTATCCCGTTCAAATGCGAGTTTATCGATTACCAGAGGGTTCTGAATTGTCGTAAAATTGTCCTGGCCCTTTCGATTCTCATATCAGAGCCTTCGATAGTTGTATATTGATCGAAATATGAGAGCTCGACGCCATTTTGGTTCTGGTTTGGACTGAGTTAAACAATTTTTTTTTGAAAAATCCAAATTTTGAATGTGTCAGGACAATTCTTAGATGATCAGGAGTGATGTGTCAAAGTTTCGGACAGTTGGTCTAATGCCCTTAAAAAAAAGTGTTGTATTCGTATCAACTGATTTGAAGGGTGTTTCACTTCACCTTAACGAGTGAGGTCGAATTTTGCGCAGTTGTTTTTAATTATGGGCGGCGTCTGATAAATTTGCAAAGTTCTTTCCCGAAGAACTGGATGAAGGAGATCATCTCTTTGATGGAGTTTGCGAAGCGAGTCGTGAAAGTGCGAATCAGAGCTTTCAAATCCTAGTTACAAGCACATCCTGGTGCGGCATACAAAGGACCTCCGCCCCTCCAGAAAGGGATTCTCGTCCTTCTCGGTAGATCTTGACATGTCGCTCCATTACAAGTTCGCCGAGCTTGTTCTCCGAAAGTCACGACGCTCAGAATCCCGTGTCTTCCCTTCGAATTGCGCCTCCACGATCCCTCCGGCATGTTCTTGGCTCCTTATCCTTGAAATTATGTCCTGCAAGGCGTTTCTAAGGACTCCCCAAGTCGTCCCCTCAAACATGGATTTTGATCCGAATCCTATAACTTTCCCTCGAGCCATGATCGATTCGATCATTGTTTCGAGCATCGATTCCACCAGGAATTAAACCCTGACCCCGAATTGACAAATCTAAATTTGTATCCTTATCGAACACCCTCAAAGAAATTCTTCTACTATCAGTGCACAGCATCAATTTCTCTCACCATTTTTATCAAACCCTTCGTCTTCACAATTAATATTGAAAAAAATGTCGATACGCTCAAAATTCCCGAGAATAACATTTAAAATGTCGTCTCTCTTGCAAATGCATCCTGTCCCGGGTTATGCGCTTAATCTCCCCTCCTTCTAATCTACCCAGTGCATTTTTCAAAAGGGACGAAATCTTGTCGGAGGCCGACGAGCAGGGGAGAACCTTTTATCGGGTTTTGCAGCGAGCGGGCTCGTTAAATATTCGTGAAAATTTCGAATTCTGACCACTTCGCAGCAGTTCCGATCCGACTAAAACCAACTGGCCGAGCGGAGGTGGTAAAAGGTGGAGGGAAAAATAGAGGGAATAAAAACGAGGCGCTTCCCTGCCAATTTTAGGAGCGTACACCCCGAACGTCGAGGCCTGACGTTCCGGAGAGGCTGCAGAGAGTCGGGCATTGTGAACACCCCCGATGTCGTTACATATTCATAACTTCGGTTCGATCGACAATAAAGCGAGGATTATTGCGGCATTATCCCGGTCCTGCCGGCGATTCCTCGAGCGTGGTGCCTTTTGTGCGGTGTTCAACGCCGTAAACTTCGCTCGCGGCTGTACCTCGTTCTCCTTGCACCTCTCCATGCACCTCTCCGATCTGCATATTGCACCGAGCAGTCTTCCGCGGAATAAGCTCCCAATTTCGCGGGTGATTATACGATATCGATGGAGGATGCATTTTTGGAACACCGATTGCCTCTCTGGGAGAGTATATGTACATTTATTATTTCTATAGAATCTTTGATTTATCTATAGAGGCCCTCATTTGCACCTTGTTCTCCATGCATCTCTCCATGCACTCCTTGTACCTCTCCTTGCACCTCTCTCCGACATCTGCATACAATGCAGTTTTCCGAGTAAGGCCCCAATTTCGCGCAATCAATTTCCAACTTCCGCTGTTCCAAAGTACTTCCGACCATGCAATCAGAAGTCACATGACTAAAATTAATTAATTCTTAAATTAAATCGGTGCGCGATTACGTGATATTCATGTGGATATCATCAATTTTCTGGAACACTAATATCTCTAGGAGGGATTTATTAATTATCATTCATTATTTCTGTGCACTGATTTTCTGATACATATAGGTCCTCACCGCCGAACCTATCGATTACTCTCCGATTTATCGATCCCATCTAACTAATTATTCACAGGGTTGGATGGACGCCCGGGAAATGCATTTTCCGCCGGTGGTAATCCATCTTAACTTCCTGTAAAATTTCCCCGCGTCCCTCAGCCTCTCTGTACGTCTTATCGTTAATCCCGCGGATCTACCGGGGTTACCGAAGTACCAGGGGGTGCAACGAGAGGTTCTCGTGTGATCTACAATTCAAATGCGGAAACCGCGAGAACGCCCGCTAATCACTCGGCTCGTTTAGAAAGATTCCGAGCGGAATGCCGGGTGATATTTCGAAAGAGGGATGAACCTTCGGAAAGTTCCCCCACCGTTTGTAAGAGGTCGCCGGCTAACGAAGCTCCCGTAAAGGATGGAAGAGGCACTTAACAAATGATAAGCGGCATTTTCGCTGACCTGGTGAATCGCATTCACCTAGAACCATCTCTCTTCCTCTCGTAAAAAAGGTGGCGCCTTTTAGCGACACTTTTACGAGGGGAAACACTCCGGAGCTTTATGGGGAGCGACTTTCATTTACCGAGGGTTTACTCTGCTAATAAACTAATTGGCTGCCCCGATCGCTTGCAATTCCTCGTCGGAAAGAAATCGGAAATGAAATTCGTCATTGCTATTTCTTTGTTTTATCTCAACGATCGCTAATACGTGCTTCGAATGAAATTGTGGATTTTCCGAGTGGGGAAGTGGCGGTATTTTTTGACCATTTTATCTCGCACGATTTTCCTCTAGTTTCCGCCCGCCTCCATTGTCCCTTTCATCCGCGAAAGTGGACGTCGCGTTACAATGCAACCAGGTAAAATTAAGGGCTCGTATCGAGCCAGGAAATAGAATTTCAGGAATCGAGAGTCGGCAACCCCCGGCCAGAGTACACAAAGGGGGCCCCCCCACGAGCTTCTTTAAATAGTGATTACCCTCTAGTAGCCTTTATTGTTACGGCCTCCTTCTTCCCGTAACAGCGATTCACGTTAAGAGTCCTGGAAAAGGAAAGCAGTCCCTCCGCGTTAAATTTTAAAGGCCGCTCCTGCGATAAACCGGCCGGGAAAATCGTTCCCCGGAAACGGCATCGAGGACCTCCTCCCCGAGGAAAATCGAGAACGGAATTGTGCTCGGAGCGTTCGGAAAAATCGGGGGAAATAACGAGGGACGATAACAAGTCGACGTTGATTACCACTTGTCGCTCGAGATCGCCAAATCCGTCCCTGGACGTCTTTTCCCAAGGAACCGCTCTAAAGTCTGAAATTTTCAGGAAATTTTCAAGTCATCAATTTCCCGCGTCAAAACTTCTACCCTGGAAATTCAAATCTCAGGGACAAAAGTCTCATTTATTTACGAGCCGTTCACAAGCCAAAGTGATTAACTCCACTTCAAAGATTTTTTTAAATTTAGTGCCAAGGCACAAAAAGCCTTGGTCGGTGCTTATCTTTTTATATCCATCCGTTTTTTCTGCCCTTTATTATTTCTGTGGAATTATTCGGTCTAGCTAATGGACTGATCGTATGCGTTGGACAGCTGTTTGATGGGGTAAGGAAATTTTTAAAAAATTATCTTTAGACTGGATAAATTTGGGGAAGGAGACTTTTAATGTCTCGTCTCGGGGGCCAAGAGCCCGGGGGATGTTATTCGTATTGTGGACGGAAGTTTGCCGATCCTGCTCCCGACGCAGTGACTGGTCCAGGATAAGTACCAGGGCGCGACAATCCCGAGGGACTCGAAGTCGGGATCAGCGAGGCGCAATTTATGTCCGCGGCCATAACTCGCGGCGAGTGCCGTTTCCAGGAGCGTGTGTTGCCTCGTTGTTTTTCTTTCCCTGAAATTCGCCGGAAGATTCCTTCGGGCGTATTTTAGCGTCGCCTTATATACGGTGCCGTTAAACGGAAACACGGACCCCGGAAATATTCCGCGAGCATCTGACCACGTCCCACGAGGAGTGCAAGTCAAAGTGCAGAAAACGTGTCTGCCAAAGTGCACGGCCACGTGGAATTTAATTTTCCACGTCATCCTTAGGTCACGATAATTTTACTCAACCAAAACTCCTAGGCACTTAATATTTTCGCAGTTATTAATAACATAATTCTAAAGAAGATACCAGACTAGAGCTCATTCACGTCAAAAAAAAGCACGAGTTTTAATATCGCAAATCGCATAGAAATCAGCTGGAAATAATTGGAAACACTGCTGTACAATGCTACACTTTGAAATTTATCGGAAATTTATTAGAATAGTCATATTCTATGACAGTGAACGGATACATAATATCCTTGTTACGCTTATCCCCGTGTGATATGATTTTTTGATAAATCAGGTTGCTAATTACATCGTCATGTCCCGTTCCAGGAGGACCTCCAGGCCACAGCGACACGTCAACCTCCCTGAACGGCACCGAGATGGGCGACTGTCTGGCAGCGCGTCGACAGGTGGAGTTGGCGGAGATTACGCAGGGTCTTCCGTTGAACAACGAGTACGAGCTGATAGCCTTCAGCCACTTCACCTTGTCGAGGCTGTACCCGGTGGACCTGGGCCTGGGAAAGCGAGTGGTAGAGAAGCCGATAGGGTTCAAGAGGAAGGACCTCCTGGAGGCGCTGACGAAGGCCGTGGAGACCCTCAACAGGAACGGCTCCCAGACGAACAAGTACACCGTGGAGGACTTCCTGGAAGGCTTGTACAGAGTGGAGCCGACCACGGGGACGCAGTACGAGATGTACTTCCGGACGAAGAACCTGAACAAGAGCTCCCAGGTTACGTCCAACGGGTACACGAAGATCACCCTGATGAGGCCCTACGCGCCCATCCAGTACGTCACCCTGGAGCGGCAGCAAGCCAAGGAGAAGGAGCTGATCCACATCATCCTGCCGCTCTCTGGGAGGACGGGTACCTTCCAGAGCTTCATGGACAAGTTCGTGAAAATTGGCCTGAAGAACGACCGCAGGGTGCACCTGACGGTGGTGTACTTCGGCACGGAAGGGCTCTCCGAGGCCAGGGCCATAATGTCCAGGGTGCTCATGACAAGGGGTAGTGGCGGGACTAATCAGAACCTGAGACTCCTGGCTCTGAACGAGACTTTCTCCAGGGGAAAAGGACTCAGGGTAGGGGCCGAGAGGGCTTGGGGTGGCGAAGGCGACGTTTTGCTCTTCATGTGCGACGTGGACGTCGTTTTCAGCGCGAGATTCCTCGACAGGTGTGTTATCCGGATCAAAGGAGAAGGACGCGTTGTTTCGTTTTATGGTATTGAGGGTTGATCCCTTCGAGCCACGGTTTTACTATATGAAATATTTTATTTAATCAAATATTAGGTGACGTAACGTAATTCATTCACGAGACTTTTACGTTTCTGACGCTATGTCGGAATCCGTGGCCTCTCCTCGGATTAAAGGATGTATTTTGTGCATTAGGGTGGAATCTAGTAGGGTAGTTAAATACGATTTTTACCGAGATTCGTTTCTGGGTGTTCCAGGTGTAGATGGAACACATCGCCAGGCCGTAAGGTCTATTATCCTATTGTGTTCAGCCTCTACAATCCACACGTTGTGTACACCCTTCAGGGCCGCGAAGTGCCTCCCGAAACGGACCAATTGGTCATATCCAGGGATACCGGATTCTGGAGGGACTTCGGATATGGAATGACCTGCCAGTACAGGTGACAATACATTAAAATCGACGCTTAACGTGATTTACGGATTCGGAATATTTTATAATAGAGTTTTTTTCCCTGTCTCCCTTTACAGGTCTGACTTCCTAAGAGTTCGCGGTTTTGACGAAGACATCGTCGGCTGGGGGGGCGAAGACGTCACTTTGTACAGGAAATATGTCAGGAGCAACATCAAAGTCATCCGAGCTACCGATCCTGGCATCTTTCACATTTGGCACCCTAAGGTACGCGTCCTAAATTCCTGAGATTAATAAATCAAGTCTAGTGCAATAGAATTATCAATGTGCAGATTCTACCGTGTCTGCTACTTTTTCAAGTCATTTTTCGCGGTCCAGTTCGTTAAATTGGATCTCTTCTTGAAATGGAACATCCATGTCTCTGTATTTGGCGACTAACGTCTCCCCTTACGCTGCATCTCGCTGCATCTTTCACATTTGGCACTCTGAGGTACGCGTCCTAAATTCCTGAGATTAATAAATCAAGTTTAGTGCAATAGAATCAACGATAGGCTGATTCTACCGTGTCTGTAATTTTTCCAAGTCACTTTTCGCAGTCCAGTTCGTTCAATTCAATCTCTTCTTGAAATGGAACATCCACGTCTCTGTATTTGGCGACTAACGTCTCCCCTTACGCTGCATCTCGCTGCAGTCGGCCGCACCTGCGGTGGTGCAATGGGAAAACTCGAATATTGAACATTCCCCCGAGGTGAATTTTCCATTCGAGAATTATTCAGCACACGCGTGCGGTAATTCAGGAGAGCCATCGGTTTTTGTTCACTTCTGGGTTTTCTTGCGTTGACATTAAACGAGCTCTTTGCAAAATGAGTGCACCCGACAATCCCTCGGTAAAACCTGTTAACGACCTCGCCGACACGCGGGACTCGAAATGACTGCTCGTAAAAAAGCCCGGGATAATCGCTCGACGGATGGAAACTCAAAGAGACGTCCTTAATCTAATTCTGCGGGATTTATATCCCGCGAGGGGAAGTTCGAAGGGTGAAAAATAATACATAAATAAGAGAGGGCGTGGCACTACCTTAGCGCAAACCCGGGAAAATCGCAGCCTCGACGAGGAGTCGTTCGTCATTTTCACGAGCGCATTTATACTGCCCAGAATCCTCCTTTTATTTCTTCCCTCCGACCCAGATACGTCGACTTCGCGTCGATACGCCAGAAAACGTAAACGTAACGAAGCTTATCCGACGCCTGAGCGGTTCGTTTGATCGATACCTACGTAGTTGCGAAAAAACATAGATTTTCAACGCGGACGTAACAATAAATAATTAAATTCTCTTGTCTGGAAGAAAATTCGATGTCCGAATAAATACGAGCACTAAAGAAATTGCGCCAAAAAATGATCTCGAGTATCATTACCCAGGAAACCTGTATTTCTAATTTAGACATTTTGGCACGGAAGAGATCGCGACCGGGAAAAGTCGGCGCGGTTTGGAAAAGGAATTACGATCTCCAATGTATCGATCGGTAGTCGATCGATATCGATCAATACCTACGTAGTCGCGAAAATAAAAAATAGATTTTCAACGCGGACGTAACAATAAATAATTAAATTCCCTTGTCTGGAAGAAAATTCGATGTCAGAATAAATACGAGCACTAAAGAAATTGCGCCAAAAAATTATCTCGAGTATCATTACCGAGGAAACCTCTCTTTCTAATTTAGACATTTTGGCACCGAAGAGATCGCGACCAGGAAAAGTCGGCGCGGTTTGGAAAAGAAATTAAGATCTCCAATGTATCGATCGGCAGTCGATCGATTTCGATCGATACCTACGTAGTCGCGAAAAAAAATAGATTTTCAACGCGGACGTAAGAATAAATAATTAAATTCCCTTGTCTGGAAGTAAATTCGATACCCAAATAAATATGAGCACTAAAGAATTGCGCCAAAAAATGATCTCGAGTATCATTACCGAGGAAACCTCTATTTCTAATTTAGATATTTTGGCACCGAAGAGATCGCGACCGGGAAAAGTCGGCGCGGTTTGAAAAAGGAATTAAGATCTCCAATGTATCGATCGATACCTACGTAGTCGCAAAAATAAAAAATAGATTTTCAACGCGGACGTGACAATAAAAAATTACCTTCCCTTGTCTGGAAGAAAATTCGATGTCCGAATAAATACAAGCACTAAAGAAATTGCGCCAAAAAATGACCTCGAGTATCATTACTGAGGAAACCTGTATTTCTAATTTAGACATTTTGGCACCGAAGAGATCGAGACCAGGAAAAGTCGGCGCGGTTTGGAAAAGGAATTAAGATCTCCAATGTATCGATCGGTAGTCGATCGATTTCCGGGTCGTATCCTGGAGCGATAACCAATCAGTTTTGTCGATCGTCGCCTTAACGGGATTACTGGGTGCCGAGAGGTCTCCCACCAAAGTCGTTCGACGACGTCGTCTACGCGATCCATCTCACATCCCGCGACCCGAGGCGTCGTTTTTGCCTAGAATCCGATTATCGAAAGTTCACCGCTAATAAACTCCGGCCCATCGCGATTGAATTTCCAGCCAGCGATCGCCCTTCGATCCCCGGTAGGAAATATTGGCTCAGCGGTTCCATTTTGGTCGAGGCTAGTCGAGGTATTTCCTGTAAAGGACCTCATCGAACCCTTTTCCAAGGCTGATACGATAACGATGATAGCGATGAATCAATTAATTAAACCGAGGACCTTAGAAATACCGCGATCGATNTAATACCCTTAAAAAAAAGTGTTGTATTCGAATCGACTGATTTGAAGGGGGTTTCACTTCACCTTAATCAAGTTTTCCGGTGGAATTCCTGTTAGCGATTTTACTCCTTACTTTGAGTTTGCGAAGATTTCCGCGTCTAGTTCTCCAGCTTCCCTCGAAAGCTGGCCGAATTTTGGCCGTGCCCTGGCCACCGCAGTAATTTCGGTATTGGCCGAATAGTTCGGAACGAACCGGCCGGTATGCCGGGTTATATGAAATTCCATGACGGCCATGGGATCTTGGCAATTATTCCAACGAGGGAATCCTGCAGGGCTTAAGGCCGGACTCGAAGTAGCGAACGCTCCGGATTTCTCCCTGCTAACTCGCGATTGCTATTCCAAGAGGACCGATAGATAGAAACAATGGAACCTGGACCAAACATTAAAGTAACATCAAACCCAAATTCCGAATCGAAATCCATGGCACTGTAAAGCCGTTTATCAACCATGAAATCTCGATAAGGATGTGACACGATATTAGATCGAATCGTCGCCTTAATAAATCCCAACATCGATAGGAAGAACATCCGAGTCGAAAATTTTTACCTCATCCTTCCCGACAAGTATATTCATTTTTGTTATTGTTGGAATTTATAACAAAAAAAAATCAGATTACTCTAGGGTCGGTAATCATTTTTGCCGATGGTCCGGAAATATAAATATTAATATTTATCTACGGTCGAACGAATGTTCGACCGTAGATTTTGGTTGAGTTGTTTTCGGAATCAACGAGGCGGTCCAAAGAAATCACATCGTCGGCTTATCATTTTCTCGCCACGAGCATAAGACATATTTAAATTCAATGAGAGAAATAGTTACCTAATTTTGCTTTTTATTTCCGTCATCAGGTTTGTTCCGGCGCCCCTGTCCCGACAAGTATATTCATTTTTGTTATTGTTGGAATTTATAACAAAAAAAAATCAGATTACTCTAGGGTCGGTAATCATTTTTGCCGATGGTCCGGAAATATAAATATTAATATTTATCTACGGTCGAACGAATGTTCGACCGTAGATTTTGGTTGAGTTGTTTTCGGAATCAACGAGGCGGTCCAAAGAAATCACATCGTCGGCTTATCATTTTCTCGCCACGAGCATAAGACATATTTAAATTCAATGAGAGAAATAGTTACCTAATTTTGCTTTTTATTTCCGTCATCAGGTCTGTTCCGGAGGACCAGGCCAAAGATTGTCGACCGACCAATACCGTGCGTGCATTCGTTCGAGAGCCTTGAACGAGGCTTCGCACGCACAATTAGGTTTCCTGGCCTTTCGGGAGGACATCGCGAGCCAGGCCTTGAATACGAAGGCCTTGACGAAAAAGAAGAAGCAGCAGCCTGCACGGAAGGAGAAGAAAAGGCTGACCAAGCAGACGAAGGGCCAACCGCAGGCAAAGGAGAAACCGCTGGCAAGGACCTCCAAGGATCAGACCTGATCCCCGATCGACGGACGCCTCGAGTTCTGAATGTAAATACCATGTAAAGAAAGCCTTCCCTCGAAAGGAGGAAACCTGCGACCTTTAGAAGCTGCTTCAGAGAGATCGCGACCAGGACCTTTCAAGGAAGGTCCTTAAGAATCCACAAGGTGGACCCTTCGTGGGAGCTCCTTCGACGTTGGAGCGTCTTCCGAGTCTCGTCGACCTCTCGAAGATGGATCTAAAAACCCAGCCTGGTGTCCTGAAATCTGGATATCCTGTCCCTGGATTTAACCAGGATCGCTTCCTGAATCGATCGACACAGATCCTAAGTCCATCTCATCCGAGTTTCCCTCCTGTGATCGAAACGGCCACTAAAAGGACTTTCAACTATTTTTTGTCTCCTCAGGACGCGTTTTAAAGTTCGCAGAAGAGCATATTTGTTCCCTTTGTTTCTTCGGCGAGATTTGATGATTTGATAATGTTTTTTGTTTTCTTTTTAATGTTTCAAAATAGGTGGAAATACGGCCGACGAGACTCCAACTCCGGAAGACGCGAAGACGATTTGTATGTCGAATTTCTATCGGTTAGACTCCTCGATCACGGCGAAGACACGATTTATATAAATCTATACATAGCTATGTTTAAAGTAACGAATAACGCCGGCGCGTGATCGACGACGGATCGACTCTGGAGATATCTTCCGATCGACTAGCGATTATCGGGTCCGTTTTAGGAAAATCGTCGCGCTCCATCTCAGTCATACGTCCGTGGTGTTACAGTAAATCGCGCGTGTACATATATAGGTATATCAGGTTCATTAAGAAGGAAAGTAATAAAAATGAGAGTAGGGTGAAAAAAGAGGGAGCGACCGAGAAATCGGGGGAAGGATCCCGAAGCGGGCGATTAGGGGCGGAAAGATGCGGAGGCAAGACTTATCGAAAGAAAAGGACGAAGAGGGGAGTAATAAAGGGGACTCTCTTAACGACTGTCTCTCTAATGAGCCTCGTTTCGCTTTTCCAACAAATTTACAGTTAACGGAAAGATTTAATTCGCCGGCGAGTTTATTGTCGCAGCCTCCCCGAGTCGCGTTTTCCGCCAGGTTTCTTTTTTTCCTCCGAGCCTCCTCGTTTTCATAGGGAGATTCGCGTGCTTTTGTAAACATTTTCCATCTCACTTCCCGGATGGAAAAGCGCTCTCCGCGGAGAGCATACGCGAAAGAACCGGAAAAGGTACATCGTACATCCAGACGACAAATGCATCGCACCGATCTCGTGCTTCTTCTCATCCTCCGCTGATGCACTCGGTGCATCTTCGCGAAATTACATTGCATTACCCGGCAAAAAAGTGTTTCAAAATGCATTGCATAAATTACCGTGACTGCCGTCTGAGGCCCTTCTGCATGGTAAACATTTTACGGCCAAGTGTACAGCACCGAGCAGTAAAAGTTGGAGCGGGATGTCAAAATAAAAATTTCGTTTTGTCTGGTTTGAAACTTTTGTCCGGAGGGAATAAAAATCCATCCCTTATAAATATTGACGAAACCCTCTGAAATTCTGCGACAATTTTAATACTGATCCGCGTACACGTGAAGCGTATGCCAATTAAAAATACATTGCGTATGCCTTGTTAATTTATCTTTACAAATACGGTGATACGTATTTAGCTTTTTCGAGGGAGACGCGAGAGAGGTGTGACGTAGAATTTCCCTCTTCGATAAAAATTCTTCAAATTAAAAAAAATATGCGGATCTGTAGGGTGCATTCGGCGCTCCGAGTCTTCTCGAGTAAAGTGCACTTCGCCCAATCCGCCCTCGACGTTCATCGTAATTAATCCCCGGGAATTTCTAATTGAATTAAACTTTGCCGAACGACGTCGCGAAGAAATTATCGTCCATTATCGGTCGGATAATGTAACTCCGACAAATCGCGTGGCGAGTTTACGGTAATGCGCGTATCGAGCCTCGTCCATTTCGGAAAAGACGGAATAGAACGTATACATGCACCGCGAAATAAATGTCTTCCAATTTAATCGAGTGCGACGTGAAAGAATGCCGGAGGAAAGGTAAAAGCAAAAATAAGGACGGAAATCTCCGCTCGAGGGAGAAAAATCCGCGAAATTCGATTTCATTAAGGGGCTTGCGCGCGGTCGGTAGGATTGGCTAATAATTGAATAACCCTCGGTAATTATGAGATTAAGGGAGGGCCCGGAAACCCAGAGGATATCCGGTCTAGTCAATATCGGCGACGGAGAAATGGACCATCTTTTATAAAAAGGTCCATTAGCCGAAGATCGATCCGAGGTCCGACTCCATTCGGGAGGGAACACTATCGTTACGCGATTAACGAGCAAATGGATGAGAAGAGAGCAATAAATTGATGATATAATTCGATTTGATCGCCGGATTGCGGCCATCCCGGCCCGGGAAGACTTTCGGAGTGATTAATGGTACCTCCACCCCGTCGAAACTCTTTTTAACCCCCGATTTTCCCCTCTTTCCGCCCTTTTCGCATCATCGACTCGTCCTGGCGAGCGCGCCGGAGGAAGGCTGTATAGAGAACCAGGGAGGAACATGTAAACAAAGTAATCCGCTATGAATAATAACGATTACGTCGCAATTATAAAAATCAGGCGTGCGTTTCTTTACCCCCTTCAATGCTCTCCGGGCGAAACGAGCTTTCGAAGCGGGGCCGAGCTTTCCGCGATCATTTCCGCATTCGAGGGCGCACCTTCATGCCTTTTCCCGTAATCTCGTTTCGCTTCGAGGATGCGGTAAACCCTCTCCCTTTTCAGCTGCAACTGCGCTCCACCGCTGCCGCATCTTTAGAAAATATCCCGAGAGCTCTCGAAAGGAGAAAACGCGCCTCACCGAGGGTGCCACCCTGTGCAGCCATTTTCTCGGGAGAAATTCATTGTCTCGTAAGTTTCCCGTAATGTTTCGCCAGGCAGTTACAATTTTAATACATTAATGACACGAACAGAATTTTTAAAAATTTATGATCGTCAAAATTATTCCGGTTCTTATGAAAAAAATATAAAAAAAAACGTGCAATGAACTTAGAAATGGTACTTAAAGAATGTTATATTAATCGTTATCCGCATACGTAAATTCATTGGTTAAATGGTAGATTTAATAGATCATCTTGGCGAGCCATTTTATCGAGAAAAATTAATTTTCTCGTAAGGTTCTCGATACGGTTCATCAGGCAGATGCAAATTTGGGGCACCAATGGTACTAATATAATTTTGTCTACTTTATGGGGACATTATTTCGGTTTTTACAAGATGGAATCTGCGATGCACTCGAAAATGGTCCTTGAAGAACCATTTGTTGATCGCTATGTTAATATGTAAATTCATCGGCTACGTGAATTCCTCTTGAATTTGAAAGTTGTAAATTTTATATGGCCTTTAAAGGGCGAGGTCGTCGAACTCATCTCCCTTGCAGGACTTTCCTGAAGAATAAGGTGCCTCTTTTAAGATCCAACGGGGTTTATATGTATTAACGGGAGGGTGCGCGTCCTCCTTTGAAGTCTCAATTTCAGGATTGACTGAGCTCGTACCTCCTACAGAGATCAGTTGGGAGATTGCTCACGGGCAGGGTCGCGCGATCGCACCGTGTGCTGCCCTCTGATTTCGTACGTTAGCTTTCACCGTTTTTTGCCCCCAAGGGCGGCGCAACGAATTTCTGGTAGGGGCTCGCGCAATCGCAATGGCTGTACCGTCTA